GTCCCCATTTAGGAGGTGAGAAAATTAGGACATTACGGACAGGTGAGAAAAACTTCAAGCTAGGGGCTCTTGGTATCAGGAGAGGAGCGCCAGGCCACCTTGAACTCATGCCCGGAACTGAAACACATTTAATGAGAGTTTAAGTCTTGGCGGGCTGAAATGTCATCCAGACATGTCATCAGGGGGACCTGGCAAAAGGCTCAGTGCAGCCTAGAGCCTTGGGACAAGGGACTGTACATGAACTTTTCGAAGAACCCCGCTGGCCATTCTCTTGCATTTTGCTCACTAAAAGCTTGCTGGGTCACCCTCGGGCGTTTTTCCTTTAACAGCCACATTACGATTTGTGCTCGCAACCTCAGATGACAAGTCAGATCCAGTGCTAACTAACCCAGCAGTGAGACTGGGATCAGGTGGGTGGGGAGAATTATTTAGCGAATGAATATTCCTGGCACTGGGCATCAAAGATGGGGAAGACCGTGATACAGTAGAACACCAAAGTGTCAGAGACAAGAATACAAAGTGAGCGGCAGGGGGTGCAAACCCAGGACCTTCTGGGTGTAAAGCAGACATGGTAACCACTACACAGCCTGGGGTAGGAGTATCAAAAAAACACCCCAGGAGGGCCATCCATCATCTTCGAAAGATGATCAGGGTTTGAGTAGTAATCTCCTGGTCATCCGTTGGATCCTTATCAACATGTGGTACCTTTCTTACAAGAACTTTTTTGCTAACTTGAACTCATTTGGAAGGACAGGTGTCCTGGTGAGCCCGTTTACTGCCTCTTGGCCCCCACGACTTCCCAATGGTGGGGCAGCTGGCCCCCCATGTCTTCCCCACACTGACAGCATTGTGAGCATGTCTCCCAAGGCCTTCTGTGAGGGCACATTTCCATTGTCCAAGACCTTTCCATTGATACCTCTGCTCACCTCCACGGAGAGGATCTTCCCCAAGGCAAAGAAGAAGGGGTGCATGTTGATGTCCGGGTCTTTGCGGAAGCAGTTGGGCTTGGCATGGTGCTGGAAGTGCAAGTGGTTCCACCAACTGGCAGGAGCCCCCTACAGAAAAGCAAGATGTAAGTATGAAAGCCAAGTGTCCCCCTTCCCTCACCGACCAGTTTCAAAGAGCCCCTCCCCATCCCACTGACCTTCAGGTGGCCAATCACGAAATGATGCAGCAGATGGTTCCATGTGGAGGTGCTGAAGACAGACAGGTGCCCAAAGTCATGCTGTAGCCAGCCGGCCTGGGCCTGGGCGAGAAAGGTTAACACTAAGAGCAGCTCACCAGCCTAGTGTCCCTCTCACTGACCCCAGCCACCCCCTCCAGCCTCTCCCTCATCCACCTATGCCTGTGATGGCCGCAGTTCCCTAACTGAGCACATCAGGAAAGGGGTCGGGAAGCCCGGGTCCCAACTCTGGTTCTGCCACTAATTCACATGACAGTTGGGGCAAATCACTGTCCCTTCCCTGTTCTTCAGTTTCCCCAGCTCTGGAGATCTGTGACTTATGATGGACTGAACATCCAGACTACAGAAAAGGACAGAGGCAAGTAGAAGGCTTGACAAACGGGTCTGGAGAGCCAAGTATTAGGGCTCAAGCATTATCAGTACGTATGGCTGTCTCGTAGGGAAGAAGCCAAGCCCTGCTGAGAAAACCGGAATCTTGGTCCTTGGCACACTCGAGCTGTAGCAGAACCTGAACGCGAAGTTTCAGAAGAGAAACTCCGCAGATGAAAGGAACCCCGGGAGAAGCAGCTGGAGAAGCCGTGAGAGAGATGAAGGTGCACAAGTGGCTACTGAGCAGATGAAAGCCACAGACAATGGAATGTGTATTTCTTTCTGTACTGACTCTCCTGCACGTCCTCAGCTCTGCCCCGGTCCCCTGAAGGGTACAAAGAGCTTTCCCTGGGGATGCTGAGAGTAGCTGTGCTCTTGACAAGCCAAGGGCTCTGACCTGAACTGTGCTTAGCAGCACTGCGCAAAGGAGGAAGGGCACATAGGATGTCCCAAAGACCCAGAGAGTGAGCCAGGCCGCAACATCCAGCAGCAGGATGTGTAGTAGGTACAGCAGGAAGAAGACATGGTTGGCTTTCATGAGCCCCATCCGTTCCACTGTGGCCCGCAGCTCCCGGAACTCATCAGTCAGCTCTTTCTGAGAAAGTGGAGAGAGAGGGACTGTTATTCTTCCCAGCTGCAAGCCAACACTGCTGGTGACGAGGGCCCTCTTAGGCTTAAGGATGTCCCGCCCAGGTGGCTGTGGGAAGTCCGCAGTCCTAGGGAAACACAACACTGAGGACCGATGACGGTAGGAGGTGCAATGGGATTGTGCCATTTACTGACAGTACGCTCCTTGGCCACGTCGTGTAACCTCTCTGAGCCTCAGCGTTCTCATCTGCAAATGTGTGAGGATTATATGAAGTTACGCTTGGCACAGAGCACGGGCTCAAGATAGTCTCATGTTGATGATGATGATGGTAGCGGTGGTGACCTCGTGAGAACCGTGAGTTCCCAAACTCCACTCCTTTGGGCTGTGACCCAATGACTATGCAAAAGAAACAGGGATCTCAAGACTCCCAAGAACTACCGACTGTGGTCACCTGTGATCCTATGTAGGGCTTCCTTCTACCCCCTGCCCCTCAATGGTCACAGCAAACGGGGTCTCACATTCTTAGTGGGCTCGAAGCTGGGCTGCTCCGGAGACAATTCCCCAATCAGGAGAGAATTCATGTACTTCCTCACAAGGCCCTTGTTGATGTGGAATGCCACAAAGGGATCCTGCAAGGGTGGGGAGAAAGCAGACCGGTGAGGAAGCCAGCCCAGCCCCCATGGACACCTGGAGGACTCCCACCAAAGGCCATCCTCCTGACCCGGCAAGGAGGTTGTACCCCAGTTCAGACAGCACCTCCCTCCAGCCAACTGTCTTTCAGGATTCTCAGACATTTTCCAGGGGTCCAGAGCTCCGGATCACCCAGCATCTGTGGTCGAGTGTCAAGAGCAACACACCAATGAATAGGGAGCGCGGGAGGTCGGAGGCGGGGGTATCGGGGCGGAGCATGGACACAGAGAAACCTCCCAGGGCTGGCCTTTCCTCTGGGCGTTGCTAGGCACGGCGTTTACACACTAATTTAAGTATTGGTGAGAACCAAAATGGATGTGAGACTTTCAGCAAGCCCCTCTCTGAGCTGGCGTTCTCCATAAAATGTGATGAGGGAAGCTTCCCAGACCCGAACTGGGAAACTTTTGCATTTCGCCCCCTTTCCTCTGCTGCTTGTTCCGGGTGGGCTTCCATGTTTCTCCTAGTACTTTGACCGCCCCCTGCCCCGGCGCCGCTAATTTTAAGTTATGCGAGGTGGGGTCCCTGGTGATGAGATTCAAGTCCGTAGGTCAGGACGCCCCAGGCCCTCTGGGGAAGCGGCAGGCGAGGCGGGAGCTGGGGCGGAGCCGGCGGCCAGTGGCACCATACAGCTGGACCAATCGCCGTCTCCGCGGCGGCGGGCCCCGGCCCTAAATCACACTGCAGGAAGCCCTGGTGTTAATGGCCCCTGTCTGCGCATGCGCCGGTCCACGCCGTGGCCTTCCGCGCTGTCGCGAGTCCCCAGTGGTCACTCCGGGTGACAAGCGCAGGCTCTGGCCTCGTCCCCAGGCCCGGCGCGCCAGAAGGAAGGGTGTGTCCTCACTCTGATGTGCCTGTGCTGGGTTGCGACATAATGGGGACCCTGGTGGCTCGAGGCGCGCTCTGGGATGGCAAAAGCGGAGGGTGGGGACAGCGGAAAGGGTGACACCGCTGGGCGCCGAAATGGGAGAAGAATGTACGGGAGGGGAAGCTAGCGAAGCGAAAGCTTCAACCGTTGGGCCCCAAGGGTGACCCCCGGCTCTCCAACCCAGCAGGGAGGCGCCAGGTGCCTTAGCTCGGAGACCCAGTGGTCTATAAAGAAAAGCAAGACCCGGGCTGGAGCGCGCGCTGAACCCGCAGCCGGGCGGGAGGAAGGAGGCTTGCGACCAGCCCCGGAGTAAAAATCGCAGTCCGCCGCGGCGAATAGCTGGAGACCACGCTGGCCTGTGGTTGACTGACCTCCCCACAGGATTCGAGGACCATTCCGGGGTCCTCGCCAAGTGTATGTTGATGTAGGGCCCCCACCTTCAGCAAGTCACGCCCATTTCCCTCCTGTGCACCAGCAGCCGCTAGCCCTCTCCCGCCGCTGCGACCCCTTCCCCGCCCTTCGGCCTTCAGCCGCTGCGGGAGTTCCCAAGGCAGCGGGCGCCAGGTGGCTTCCCGCCTCAGCCCTTTCCCCACGAGTGGTTCATTCTGCTCCCGCTCACAAGCGTAGGCCAGCACTGCCCAGTCCAGATGCGGCTGCGCTCCCATCCCAGCCAAGAACACAGATCGACACCTTCTCCTTGCCACTGACCCCTGCCCCCTCGGCCGCAGCACCGCTGTCCCGGCACCCTGCATCCTCGCTCTCTCCGCTCCAGCCCTGCTCTGGGCCTGCCCACGCCTGGAGACCGCAGATTCGCGGCCAGGGACGGAACGCACGCACCGGCCGCGCGGCCCTTTGTGTATGCACGTCGCCGGCATCCATCTCCACTCCCCAGACTCCTGTTTTCACAGCCCCTCCTGCCCTTGCATCTCGTGTCCACAGCACACCCAACCCCTGGGCAACAGGTATGCTCCGGAGCTTTCCGGCTTTTCCCCGAATTAGTTGGCGTTGGGCTGTGGGAGCCGAACTTCCTGCCTCGGATCCCGAGCCTCCGGCCGCGGCCCCCCCCCAGCCCCGCCTCCTCCAGTGCCGGCGTCTGGCAGCGCTCACCGTAGCATCCTGCCCCGCATAGTGGCTGATGACCCGGGAGCCCCCAGGGTGCCGGCGGGTGAACTCGCTGATGTTGTACACCTTCCGCTCTATCACCAGCCACCGCTCCTTGTCGCGCCCAGAGCGCTGCGCCACCTCGTCCCAGGTGAAGTAGCGCAGGGTCGGCCCCTGGGCCGGGGTCTCGGGGGCCATCGCGGCCTGGCGATGCCTCGCGCCGGCTGGGTAAGGGCGGTCAGAAGCGCACCGACCTTGCGTGCTCGGGGCAGGTCTGGTGGCGCGCGCCGGGAGCCTGCCGCCCGCGCTCGGGGTTTTCAGCACCGGTGGCCGGGACCACCGGGCCCGGCTGCGCGCGCTCCCATTGGTCGAGCCGCGTGGCGCGGGGAGCGCACCCCCGCCTTCCGGTGAGAGCGGGCGGTGGCAGGCCTGTGGCGGGCACGGATGCGCGCCCCCTCCTGGCCTCCTTTCCGGGGTCGCAGCTGGATCCCACTTCCCTACGCACGTCTTTCGCTCCTAGGGGGCGCCGCGGGCGAGATAAAGGTTCCCGTGGTGGAGTTTCCTGGGTGCGGGGCCAGGATCCAAGCGAGCCGCGGCCCAGGGTGCGCGGGCCGCCCTGGGGCTCTGGGGGAGGAGTTGGCTCAACCGGCGGCCCGGGGCTGGGGGGCGAGAAAGGCCTGCGGGGCTGGCGGGATTAGGAGCGGTGGTGATGGGCGTGGAAGGAGCTGTACCTGCGTTTGAGGTTGCCCCGGGGCTGAGACTGTCCCAGTGATCGACATTGACCTAGGGGCATCATCTTTAGTCTAAGAACGCCCTCGCCAATGTCTGGACGCTAACCCTCCAGGAGTACACCTGATAAACTCGCATTTCCTCGGCCTGCTACTTTATGTGGCCTGAAGTAACACTCTGATAACCCTTGGCAAATTACACTGTGAACAGCATACCTGTGGTTTATTAAATGGTTGTGTGTGTGCCGGGAGGAGGGGGGGCGGGGGGCGCGCGAGGGAGGGAGTGTTAATGCTTTGCTTGGTATAGCGTTAAAAATGCCCCTCAATTTTTGTAACCCTCTTTGCCTTTTTTGTTGGTTTTTCTTTTTGTTCTGTTTTGAGATTAACTGGGATTCTTAAATAAAAGGAAGTGGCCCAGACTCCTAGGAGGCCCCGTGGGAAGAGCCCGGGTCTTCAAGCTAGGGCATCTGCTCCACCTTGGAGGTACCTGGGAATTGTAGGAGGCCTTTAAATCAGAGATTTGAAGAAGCAGCGAGAAAACACCCAGAGGCTGGGTGCACCAGTCAAGGAGCTGCTGCATTAGGAAGAGACCCAGAGTTTGCATGCTACCCTTTATTCAACACCTTATAAAGCACTTACTACATCCCAGGAAGCTAAGTGTTTTGCAAACAATTGGCTCACTTCTCCTCGCAACCCTATGAGGTAGGAACTATTGTTAACCTCACTTCCAGATGGGGAAACCGAGCCACTGAGCAGTTAAGTATTTCGTCACACAACTAGTAAATGGCAGGGCTGATTGGAAACCACTTGTGCTCTGAACCCCTAAGCTTTGCTGTGTCTCCTCTGATTATACTAGTATGGGGACACTTTGATGGGACTATAGACAAGGGAAAGGAAGCAGAGCTTATCCCATGCACTGAGCTAGAGTCTGAGCCACTAGGAGTCATGGTGATACAGAACAGAATGGGAGAAGTGTGGCTAGATGCTAGAGTCTGAGCCACTAGGAGTCATGGTGATACATGACTGGGAGAAGTGTGGCTAGAAAAAGGACCTTAATCCATTTAATCAAAACCCCTCATTTTATAGATAAGAAAATTGAGGTTCAGAATGGGGAAGGCACGTCCCAAGTTCCCATGCGGAAGCTCAGTTTAGAAGCCAGGCCGCTGCACCTTGCTCAGAAAAGATGGTCCACGTCGCTGCCCTTCGTACAGTCAATTTTCTGTTAAAAAAAATCTTGCCCAGCAATTCAATAGTGCATAACAAGAGCTATAAAATGATCTGTACTCTTTGATCAAGCTGAGATAGGATAGATAGCCCAGGGACACTCTTGGGAATGTGGGGGCTGGAAACTATGCAAAATGTTTATAGCAAATGTAATAGCAAAAACGAAGTGACTGTAAGTCCTGATGGTAAAAAATCGTCAAGCTCACTAGGCTATATTAGCACAGTGAGGAATTGCAGAGTGATTAAAAATCACCAGGATGTGAACTATATGGATAGGCAGGAAATACTTTGCATTGGGAAAAAAAACAATCGAGGATGGACTCAGAGATTACCATTACAGAAGAAACCCATGGGTATTAAATAACAGAAGAGAGTCTGCCATGATGAAAACATTTCATAGTTTAACATTCTTAAGTTTTTTTTCCTGTAAAGTTGCTTAATCTCATGAAAGAAAAATATATTTTGCTTAAACCGTTATTCCTGTAGTGAAGGTGCTGTGGTGTAGAAGCTAACTTATACTTCTAGTGAGAATGACTAACTTCTGGAAAAAGTTTGGCAACTTTATTTAGAAACTTATAGCTGTTCTCAATAATTCCATGCTTAGGAGTATAGTCTAAGGAAATCCTTTTGGAAAAACGATTTTAAAACAAAATATTCATTGAAGCAGTATTTACGATAGCAAAAAAAAGAAAAGTGGCAACAATCTGCCCATCAATAGAATATTATGCAGACATTAAAAATAATGTGATGAAATTTTAATGGCTGAGGAGATAATCACACTGGAAAAAGACTAGAAGGAAATGATAATAGTGATTATTTCTGGATGGGTGGAGCAAGGTAATTTAATACTTTCTGAATTTTATATAATGAGCACGTGTTACTTTTACAATCAGAAAAAAAGTTTATGTGTAAAAAAATGCCACTTGTAGGATGATTCTTCGATGAACCCCACCTACCTAAAAGCATTAAGTGTTTCATTCAACATTTGTGGAGTGGCTGCTCTTTGTCAGTTATTTCAACAGGTGCCGTTAATAAAAATCCAATATCATGTGGCTCATGCTTAGCTAAGTCCGCTGAGAACAGACAAACATCACTGATTATAGATCAGTAGGATAGAGGCAAATTACTTCTCTCTTTCTGATAAGCAACAATTTAAGCAGTTTGTATGACATGAATTTGTATTCATGTTTCTTTGCTTTGTAAGTATTTTTATGCCAGTGTGATGTATTTTGACTGCCTCCCTAACTCAGTTGTAACCTGGGGCAGGGACTATGGATTCTGTTTTATTCTCCGTGATATATAGTCAGAATACTGTAGTTTGGAGTTCTGGGTGGAACAGTAAATTTGCTGAACTGATAGTTTCAACCTGAAAAAAATACCAGTTTGCAAGCGTATTAAGGCCACTGTGCAGACGTCTTATTGCCCTCTCATGTCCCTATACACAAATGGTCATGCAGATTGTAAACAAAGCATTTCCGGGCCTGAGTTGGGGGCCAACTGGATAAATCCTTTGCCTCGTGGTTAACTTGCCTTATCCAATAAATGAATCACATGCTTAATTCCAGGTTGAGACTTGTGAATACTCCTAATTATGGTGGCTAAATATACTAAGGGAACAGAGAGAAATCAGCTTAAGACCCTAATGCCAATTGTAATCAGACTGTACTTAAGTCACACAACTGCTGAAGACTATTGGACTTAAGGAGGAGGCGTGGAAAGTAAATGTTGAATCAGGCTGTATTCAGAGCCCATGTGCTGCTGCCAGGCCTCGGGAAACTGCAGGACAAAGGAATACTCCTGCCGGGATTATTAGCAAACCATTTACTCATACCCTGAAGAGAAAGCAGAGTCCTAAAGTCGTACCCTACACAAAATAAACCCAACCATTCATTCCCTGTGGCATGAATGGGGAACCTATGGAACAAAGGCTGGGGATTGCTAGCATGCCTTTCATGCTACATACTCATACCATCAAAGGAAAAAAAAGTAAAAAAGTCTTTAAACTGTAATTCACAGATACTAAGAATGACATATAAACTGAATTCTCCAAACACTCGGGGTCTTTGCCTCTGTCTTTCGGTCTGTCTCTTTTTTTTTTTTTTCTCCCTGTCTTTTCTCTCTGTCTCTCTGTCCGTCTTGGCTCTCTCACACCTTGTCTCTGAGAGGAGACCAGCTCTGTCTATGGAGTGTTACCCCTTCTCTAATAAACTTTCCTTTTGACTCTAACTCTGGCCTGCGCTCGAATTCTCTCCTGCACTCAAACCCGCTCTCTCTAGGTGCAGGCCTGGAACCTCCACTCGGAGAGATTTGCCCTGTCCTGCATCAATTGACATAATCTGACATGTGAGTTCAGATTTTGATCTGTTTCAACAAGGGACACAATATCAGACGAAGGACTTTACGAAGTGAACAGGTGTGGGAGGAAGAATATTGTTTGTGCTTGGCCGTGTTTCAGCCATCTCTCAGGCCATTAAATATCAAAGCCATTTTTGTAGTATCTGGGTTTCCATGAAATTAGGTAATTTATGGGGACGAAGTCGGCCCAATGCTCAGCACTCTGTAGGTACTAATAAAGTTAACTGAATCTGTCATGTTATAAGAAAAATCATCTGTAATAGCTCTCTAGGTAATGTCAAGTAATATATTATTACAAAATGATTTATGACATGTAGTGCTTAAACTAAAGAGAGAAAAGATCCCGACGTCACACTTCTATTAGAGGCAAAGAGAAAACTAGAAATAGGATATTTTCTCTTTACCACATTATAATAACACCAAGGGTCGGGGAGGAGGGGTGCGGAACTCATGGACGTGAACCTATGGGATTTCCTTAATGCAATCTTGTTGTGTAGACCATTAGATACCTTATAGACAGGTGTGTTAAACCCACTATCTTATAGGTAAAGTGACAGATCTAAGGAGCTGGAGCCACGCTTAAAAAATAGGAGGTTTGGGACTGAAATTTACCCAGGACTCATTTATACCTTGGAGTTCCTCTCTGCAGGAGTTCCTAGACAGTGGGTTCCATAAGTGTGTTTGATATAAGGCCCCCCTGGCCCACAAAAGAGGTGGCAGGGTCAGTTTGCTGTCCTAAATTTTCTGGGGCACCTTCTTCCTCCCAGGCCCTTAGACCTGCCTCTCTAAAATGGGAGAAGGCAGGCCCGAGCAGGTGGGCCCCAGACTTTCAGACTTCTCCAGGAATTGGTCTGCAGTGCCCCCAGACACCGACGTCATCTTTTTTTCTGGTCCTTTAATGCAACTTTACAGTAAAAGGATCTCTATATAAAACAAAAAGGCTCAGCTCGAAATAGTTACGATAAGATTATTTACTTCACTGTGGCAAGTCATCATATACATCTATATTTACTTCACTGTGGCAAGTCATCATATACATCATAAGCTTTTTCCTATTGTTAGATATTCGTTTAGAAGTTTTTGCTTGTATAATATTGCA